CTCACAATTTTTTTTACATTCCAAGGGACATATAAAGATGTAAAAAGAACAAAAAAATTTTTGGTCCCGTATTTAGAATTGAAATGATGAATTTTTTTTCGATTTTTTTGGATTTTTTCAAACTTTAGGGGTCAAAAAATCGGGGTTGCGGATCATCAAATTCGCCCACAATTTTTTTACATTCCAAGGGACATATAAAGATGCAAAAACAACAATAAAATTTTTAGTCCCGTATTTAGAATTGAAATGATGAATTTTTTTTCGATTTTTTTCGATTTTTTTGGATTTTTTCAAACTTTAGGGGTCAAGAAATCGGGGTTGCGGATCATCAAATTCGCTCACAATTTTTTTACATTCCAAGGGACATATAAAGATGCAAAAACAACAATAAAATCTTTGGTCCCGCATTTAGAATTGAAATGATGAATTTTTTTTCGATTTTTTTGGATTTTTTCAAATTTTTTTCAAACTTTAGGGGTCAAAAAATCGGGGTTGCGGATCATCAAATTCGCTCACAATTTTTTTACATTCCAAGGGACATATAAAGATGTAAAAAGAACAATAAAATTTTTGGTCCCGTATTTAGAATTGAAATGATGAATTTTTTTTCGATTTTTTTGGATTTTTTCAAACTTTAGGGGTCAAAAAATCGGGGTTGCGGATCATCAAATTCGCCCACAATTTTTTTACATTCCAAGGGACATATAAAGATGCAAAAACAACAATAAAATCTTTGGTCCCGCATTTAGAATTGAAATGATGAATTTTTTTTCGATTTTTTTGGATTTTTTCAAATTTTTTTCAAACTTTAGGGGTCAAAAAATCGGGGTTGCGGATCATGAATTTCGCCAACAATTTTTTTACATACCAAGGGACATATAAAGATGTAAAAAGAACAATAAAATTTTTGGTCCCGTATTTAGAATTGAAATGATGAATTTTTTTTCGATTTTTTTGGATTTTTTCAAACTTTAGGGGTCAAAAAATCGGGGTTGCGGATCATCAAATTCGCCCACAATTTTTTTACATTCCAAGGGACATATAAAGATGCAAAAACAACAATAAAATCTTTGGTCCTGCATTTAGAATTGAAATGATGAATTTTTTTTCGATTTTTTTGGATTTTTTCAAATTTTTTTCAAACTTTAGGGGTCAAAAAATCGGGGTTGCGGATCATGAATTTTGCCAACAATTTTTTTACATACCAAGGGACATATAAAGATCTAAAAAGAACAATAAAATCTTTGGTCCCGCATTTAGAATTGAAATGATGAATTTTTTTTCGATTTTTTTGGATTTTTTCAAATTTTTTTTAAACTTTAGGGGTCAAAAAATCGGGGTTGCGGATCATGAATTTCGCCCACGATTTTTTTACATACCAAGGGACATATAAAGATGTAAAAAGAACAATAAAATTTTTGGTCCCGTATTTAGAATTGAAATGAGGAATTTTTTTTCGATTTTTTTCGATTTTTTTGGATTTTTTCAAACTTTCGGGGTCAAAAAATCGGGGTTGCGGATCATCAAATTCGCCCACAATTTTTTTACATTCCAAGGGACATATAAAGATGCAAAAACAACAATAAAATCTTTGGTCCCGCATTTAGAATTGAAATGATGAATTTTTTTTCGATTTTTTTGGATTTTTTCAAATTTTTTTTAAACTTTAGGGGTCAAAAAATCGGGGTTGCGGATCATGAATTTCGCCCACGATTTTTTTACATACCAAGGGACATATAAAGATGTAAAAAGAACAATAAAATTTTTGGTTCCGTATTTAGAATTGAAATGATGAATTTTTTTTCGATTTTTTTAAATTTTTTTTAATTTTTTTCAAACTTTAGGGGTCAAAAAATCGGGGTTGCGGATCATGAATTTCGCCAACAATTTTTTTACATACCAAGGGACATATAAAGATGTAAAAAGGACTATAAAATCTTTGGTCCCGCATTTAGAATTGAAATGATGAATTTTTTTTCGATTTTTTTTGATTTTTTTGGATTTTTTCAAACTTTAGGGGTCAAAAAATCGGGGTTGCGGATCAGCAAATTCGCCCACAATTTTTTTACATTCCAAGGGACATATAAAGATGCAAAAACAACAATAAAATCTTTGGTCCCGCATTTAGATTTAAATTAATGAATTTTTTTCGATTTTTTTTCAATTTTTTCAAATTTTAGGGGGTGTTTGGGGTGTAATTTGTGTAATTTTTTTTTCTAAACTGTATTTTTGGTTGTTTTTCATTAGTTTGTACCTATTTTAAGGAATTTTATGTAATTATTAAAAAAAAATTTTTCGTTTAAGATAAACGTTGCGTACTTCAGGGAGGTCAAATTAAATACCAAGATTTTTCTACTAATCGCGGAAAACTAATCAAATTTTATGTTCAAATTTTACTATCAAACAAGTTCCGCTTATAGATAAGCGTAATTTTAAAAACGAATCAATTGACCTATTATTGAATCTTTTATTATAAAATATTACCAAGTTATTGATGTTGAAAATCTATCTCTACAAACGCCTAAAAAATTCAACTTAACACCTTTTTAAAATTATTATAATACTTATTAAGTCAGCATAAATTGATCGCAAAAAATCTTCACGAGGTAGCAATGTGTTCATGAAATGAACACAAAAAATTCATACTTCAACTTGACAGCGGTTTTTATATTATTTGTTTTAACCTCTGATCAAAAATGATTCTAAGAAACAAAAGAGTAAAACAATCTAACATATATAGCAGCTAAATGTTTTTGGGGTCGCTGATTACGATTGTGCTGATGAATTTTCAAAATTCAAAATGGTGGATCCAAAATGTCGGACACATTTTTTAAAACTTGCTTGGATTTGCTTCAAATTTGTTACTGGGAGGGGGAGTTTTCGAGGTCGCTGATTACGATTCTGGTGTTATTTTGGCAAAAAATTTAGAAGTTTTTGAATACAATCGAACTAAAGAAATAATTCTGTAAATAGATGAATAAATTTATATAATCCTGAAAAAGAAAACATTCCTATTGTTAGATCCACAAACATCAACTAGGATCCGCGATTTTGAGAAACTATCAACAGATTCGTAATCAGTGACCCCAAAAACCCCCGAGTAACGAATTTCAAGCAAGTTTCAAAAAATTATCCGCCATATTGGATCCGTTATTTTGAATTTTGAAAAACTGATATCAGATTCGTGATCAGCGATTTATATGTGTTTAAGTAATTGAAATTCCTCCTTATAAAAAATTTGTGCTACAAAAGGTTAATAAACCCGAATAGACGGTATTTAAGGAAGATAAAATGAATAGTATTCGAATAAGTATACGCAGTAATCGGAATATTCGAAATAGTATTCCAAATGGTATTGAAAGTATATAGAGTATACCAAATAATATTCTAACTTGAATACATAATCTCCAATGTATACCTGAACGTCTTCCGTAATATTCGAAACGGATATGACAGTACACTGAGTAAACTAAGCTGAATCTTCAAATGGATCATCTTAATTTCCTAAGTATACCAAAGTATTTAGAGTAATCTTGAAGGTCTTCAGAAGTCTCTTAAAAGTATGAACATCTTACGGAGTAAATAAAATGAATACTGCAGTCTTTGAATTTTTGGATACTTAATTGGTGATACAACACATAGATGGCAGAAATAAAAAATTAGAATGGCACTAATAAATAAATAAAATGATACATAATAAACTGAGATTTACAGTATTTTATTTAAATTTTAGTATTATATTTTGAGTAAGAACTACTAAACATAACTGATAACAAGAAAAAAGATTTTTTATTAATACTGCAAAATATTTTTATTCTAAAGCAGAGATTGGAGTATTTTTTCGTTTTTAAAGGTTTGCCACATCTGGTTTGCATTAGGATGACCAGTCAAGGGTTTCTCGATGCAAGAGGTTCTATTTTATGAGTTTTTCGATACCTGTTTTTTTCTTATAGATTTATTTAGATAGAAAATGTGTTAATTTTGAAGATGCAAAGAGACGAAGAAAATGTGTTTAAATATTTAGTATTTTTTTCAAAAATTTTCCTAAAGCAGACCTTCAGGTTTTCAGTTGCTTTCTATCATTTGCCAGGAACGAAGGGGAACCTACAGTCGGTAGTCAGTGAGTTCAAGTGAAGAATTTATTGAGAATTTATTTATTAATTATTATTTTAATGTAATATTTAAAGTTTTTTATTAAACGAAATAATTTGAAGTGTAAGATAATTCTTTAACTAAAAATATCCTGCACTAAGTGAAACAATTCGTTAATGACAAATTACCCATCGAATGGTACGAAATCATATGCTGAAAAAATTATAAAGGAAATCAAGTAAGTTTTTCATATATTTTTTATTTACTTAAACAGAAATTTATATTTTATTACATATTATAATATCATATTAATATTATAAATGTTAACCTTGTATTCACTACCAAGTGTAATAGTTTATTTAATAAATTATTGTATAAAATATTATAACAAAAAAATTTTTCATAAAAAATAATTTAATAACATTAAAATATTTAAATATATATTGATTAGAATGCAACTTAAAGTTGACTTTTTTTCAGGTACGGAATTATGAGTTTTATAAAGGATATACCATATTACTTATCGCTTGAAATATTTAATTCAGATAGTTATTTTATTTATTTGTTAGTTTATTTTTTTTCTTTATGTTTATCTATTTATTTATTTAACTTGTATATTAATTAAGTATTACATATTTATGTATATAAGTAAATAATTAAAACAGAGTTGAATTAAAAATAAAACAACCCAAAAATTTATTTAATAAATCCCCATAAGTGTTACATTTTTTTTTATCCCAAAGAACATTTAATTCTTATTATACAGTGGACTACCTGAGTAAATTCCCCCTCGTTAAATTGGCATATTTTTTATTATAATGATAAGTGAAAGGTTGATGAGATAATGATTATGCTCATATTAACATAAACGTATATCGCGCCTTATATATAATATGTTGAGCTGAATCGCATGATTCAAAATCTCACTAGATGCGACCAGAGAAACTTTCCTAGCGAAAGTGAATTTTTAGTTACGTATTACTTTTTCATAGTCATTCCATAGTTTAATGAATTTCCGCAAGTGTTAGCATCCGTGTAGTTGTTGATAGTTCTTTTAAAATACTCTTTTGTGAAAAGTGAGTGATCTTTTGGTGTTTTGTTTAGAAAATTTTTTTTAATATAGAATAATCATAGTCATGGAGGTAAGTTTATTTAAAAAATATAAATTAATATACTAGTTTTGCAATTTTTGAAATTTTATAGTATAGTTTCTGTTTTATAATTTTTTTTTTAGAATTCAAGCCCACACAGCACGTAAGAAATTTTCTGAACACTTTTTAAAGTTGATCTACCTTTAAAATATTAATTTATGCGAAACTTCAGGATATATTTTTTTAATATTATTTCCTCATATGAGAAAATGTTAAATAAATATTGTACGGCAAAGTTTGAGGCAATATTAATTGCAATGTTTAATTTTAAGTTAAATATTTTATCACATGCAGTCTTATTAATGGTGAACAAATATTTTCTGAGCTTTGTTGGTTAATATTTCGAAGATTTCAGATCAACTTTAAAAAAAACACGTTCAGAAAATTATTTCTTGTATTGCATTCGAGCTGAGAAAATTGTTAAAATACTTGATCGACTTCATTCGATTTGCAAAAAAACAACTTATGTTTTTTTCACAACGATTAATTATTTTTTAATTCTTAAGTCTGTGTATAATTAATCAAGAACTGGAGTATAACTTGACTTTTGACTTTGTATAATGAAAAACTCGTTGTTACAATTTATATAATGCTGAAGTTCACAATGTTTATGATCAACAATTAGAAAATATAATTATTTTTTAAAACAGAAAATTGTAAATTATTTTAGCTAAAAAAAAAAATTTTTAACCCTTACCTAACACCATGGATCCAATAGACTCGACCATTTTATCGAGCTCAAATTAATTGAATATGTATAGCTTTTGAATATTTTGCTTCCTCGTGGAGGAAGCTATGTAGTCCTTTCGTTTATAAACTTTTTAAAAATGGTGAAAACAAATTTTCCTCTATATAGAAACATGTTATATGAGATCCTGATCAATTGTCCGGATGTATGTATGTGTGTGTGTATGTGTGTGTGGATTGTTTTTGTGAACACGATATCTTTAACAGGTTTTAATGGATTTGGATAAAATTTGGTAGGCTTATTTAACACATTAATCTCTCAAAAATGACGAGAGGATTTTTAAAAATACCCAAAAAAAAAAATTTTATCGTCTTTTTTCCAAAAAATTTTTTTTAATTGAAAAAATTTTTAAATCGAAAAATTTAAGGTAATATATAATATAATCGTCTTCTTTATGTCAAGATGAATCGATTGATATATATAAAGTATAGATTTGATTGAAATTTAAAGAATTAAAGAAAGTTAAAAAATCAAAAATTCTCATTTTAGCTAAAAAATTATGTGTTTATTTAAATTCATGTTTATATATAAAATAATTTTATTCCCTGCATTGAAACGAATTGGTTGGTATATATAAAGTATAGATTTGATTTAAAATTTGAGAATTAATAAAAATTGAAAAATCGAAAATTCATATTTTAGCTAAAAAATTTTGTGTTTTTTTTAAATTCAAGTTGATGAATAACATAATTGTATTCCTTGCATTAAAACGAATCGATTCGTATATATAAAGTTTATGTTACACTCAAAATTAATTAAAATTTTCTTTATTTTTCAAAAAATTTAATTAATTTAAAACATTTTTAATTCGAAAGTTTTTAAATCAATCAATTGAATTGGACAAATTCATTGATTCCTTCACGAGGAAGCGAATTTTTTGCTTCACACAATGAGGAAGCATAATGTTTATGAAATAAACATAAAGGACCCCCTACTTGTTTTATATTTTAATATATTAAATTCTTAGTAATTTTCTAAGTTTTTTGATACAATTAATTCGATACAAAAAGAATAAATTAGTTTCAAACATTAATTATTATAAATTTTTAATTTTAACTTAAAAAGTCACATTTTATTCTGAAAAATAAATAACTTTTTTGCAAGTCCTGCTGTTGTGGTAATTTTTTCTTATAAAGAATAATACATCATAACCTTAAATTTTTAAGTTAGAATATTAAAATTTAAATAACTCATGAATTTTTAAGTAAAAACATGCAATTTTTTGTTTTTATTTTTCACAATTTTTTTTAACTAATTTAAAATAAATTAATCCATGTAAAACAAATGAAATTTTAAAAAACACATCATAAATTAAATTTTTGTGTAAAGATATTCAATACCGACTGTACAATATACGTTTGAATATGTCGGGTCTAGCAGACCCGTTGGGCCATTTGCGTTTTGAACGCCGAATTATACCAATTAAGGGTTAATAATAGCTAATAATAATATTTTTATAAGTAGCTTAATATACTATTCCCAATGCATAACAGAAATAAATATTATACGACTTTATTTTTGTGAATTTTATCATTATATTAAAAAAATATTATTTTTCTATATCAAAAAAACAAAAATTTTAAATAAATAATATATTTATTTATGTACAAGTATACGGACAATGCATTTTTTATCAAAATTCAAATAAAATTCATTAATTTAGTAAAGAATATATTATTATACGTGTATGCAAATAATTTTGGTTATTTATCGTAAATCTCACTTAATGCAATACATAGTTAAGATATACAGGGTGTTCAAGTATGGAAACTTGCAAATATCTCGAAAAGTACGAATTTTCGTAAAAAATGTTTAAGACAAAAGTTGTTCCAAACAAAAAGATCTACATCTTTGAAACCAAAAAAATTGGGCCCGGGTCCCAATGTTGGGTCATACAATAAAAAAGTGTTTTTTTTTTAAATGAAACAACTAATTTTCAGTATCAAATTTGTAATCCCCACGAAATTCTGCGATCAGACATGTGATATAAGTGCCCAATATATTGGGCCTAATCCAAGATATTAGATCCAAAAATTTTCTACAGATAAATAAATTTCAAAAAATCGCATTTTGGAGGGATTTTGAGTTTACAGGATTAGAAATTCGAAGCTAATTTTCAAATTGGGTACAGATTCCAATGTAAGATTCCGCGACCCAATGTGAGGTCCACAGTAAAAAAATTAGTTGTCTTAAATAAAACCCATTAATTTAAAGTATTCAATTCGTAATACCCATGAATTTCTGGGTTTAGACTTGTAGTACAAAAGCCAAAATTATTGGGCCCTCACATTTGGTTGCGGAATCTTTCATTGGGCTCTGTTCCCAATTTGAAAAGTAGCTTTGAATTTCTAATCCTGTGACCTCAAAAACCCCCAAAGTTGCGATTTTTCAAATTTATTTATTTGACAAAAAATGTTGAGCCCAATCCCAGACATTGGGCCCAATATTTTTGGCTTTTGTACTACTAGTCTAAACCCAGAAATTCATGGGTATTACGAATTGGATACTGAAAATAAACAGGTTTTATTTAAGACAACTAATTTTTTTACTGTGGGCCTCACATTGAGCCGCGGAATCTTCCATTGGGCTCTATGCCCAATTTGAAAATTAGCTTCGAATTTCTAATCCTGTGATCTAAAAAACCCTCCAAGATGCGATTTTTTACAATTTATTTATCTGTAGAAAAATTTTGGATCTAATATCTTGGATTGGGCCCAATATTTTGGGCACTTATACCACATGTCCGATCGCAGAATTTCGGGGGGATTACAAATTTGATACTGAAAATTAGTGGTCTCATTTAAGAAAAACACTTTTTTTTATTGTATGGCCCAACATTGGTCCCCGGACCCAATTTTTTTGGTTTCAAAGATGTACATCTTTTTGTTTGGAACAACTTTTGTCTTGAACATTTTTTACGAAAATTCGTACTATTCGAGATATTTGCAAGTTTCCATACTTTTGGAACACCCTGTATATTATATTGTCATATTGACTGATTAAAATATAGGAAGGGGGGGGGGTCAATTTTAATCTACTTATTTTTAAATTATCCGAAGGAGGTTATTTTTTTTTGCTTGAATCATGTGGGTTTTAAAAACATACAAAGTGGTCAGAAAAAGAAAATTTTAATTTTAGACCAGTTTAGAAATTAAAGTTTTAAAAATATATAAAAATTTCCAAAATTGTATTTCTTTCACAATTTTTACTATTTTCTTTCGTCAATTTTTTCCACACTTTTTTTTAATGATTCTTAAGAATCTCACGCATAAATTTAAAAAAAATTTTAATTGTTTAAAAAAAGAAAGAAAAAGATGAGTTAAAACTTCATACATTCATTTTCAATATTAAACTTCTTTCATTATTTTCTATCGCCAAATTTTTTTTTTACATTTTTTTAATAATTCTTAAAATCTCTGACATGGATTTTCAAAAATTTTAATTATTTAAAAAAAATAAAAATTCTAAAGTTGTCAAAAATTAAAATTTTCTCTTTAGACCACCTTTGTATGCATTTAGAACTCAATAAATGATTCAAGAAAAAATTGATTAATATTATATACATATATATTAAACGTTATAAGCTAATAATTTTCCAAATAAAACAAATGTTTTTTATTTCTATGTTTCAGTACAATATATATTGTCAATTATTATTGTATATTATCTTAATTGTGATAATAATAATTATCATAAACACAGTAACTAAAGGAAAATGTACAGATTCTAGAAGATTAGATGGTCAAGTTATAATTATTACCGGATCAAGTAGAGGTAACTGTAAAATTTTCAAAACAAGTTTATTACTTTGTTTTATATTAATAAATTTAGCGAAATATTATTTAAACATTGAAAACAAATTTTTATCTTCAGTTAATTAAAAAAAATATTAAAAATATATTTTAAGTCTTTATAAAAATTTCGCAGAAATAAACTGTCAGGGGGTGGAGGATGAAAATGTTAACGCCTTAAAAAGTCGTATAAACGAAGAAATAAATTTATTTTAATATTTATTCTTTTTTTTTGTCAGGAATTGGCAAATGTACCGCTTTAGATTTAGCAAAAAGAGGAGCAAAAATTATCATAGCATGTAATGATATAATTGAAGCTAATGAAGCTAGAGGTATATTTTAAAATTTTTATTTTTCCAAAAAGTTATACAATTATATATTATTTATCTAAAATTTATAAAAATTTCCACAGACGAAATAATAAAAATAACTGGCAATGAAAATATTGAGGCACACTTTTTGGATTTAAGTTCATTTTTGAGCGTAAGAGAATTTGTAAAAAATTTTATTGCCAATGAAAAACGATTAGATGTTCTCATCAATAATGCTGGTACTGCTGTAACTGCAAAGAAAAGAACTAAAGATGGTTTGCCATTGGGATTGCAAGTTAATCACTATGGTCATTTTTTGCTGACAAATTTATTAATTGGTAGGTGTTAATAATTATTATTTTTTTTAGTAAGTCATTTTAAAAAAAAAAACTTAACGTCTATAGGTACATGGAAAAAAAGGAATTGCTTACAGATGCTAACTGATGTTTGCTATCAGATCCATTGAAAATTAGTAACCACAGCTAAATTTTTTGCTATAACAACGAAAAAGTTTGCTATGATAAACAATATCAGTCTTAATTTTTTTAAATTTACTGTCACAACAAACTTTTTTGACCCCACAGCAAATTTGTTCACTGTCCCTATATTAGCTAACGTAATTTGATATGAAACCAAATAATTTGCTGCCACAGCAAAATTTTTTCTTTGCGTGTATATTTGAAGTAAAAAATTGTTTTTAATAAATGAAAATAAAATTTTTTGTACCTTTTACAAGGAGAGATTAATAATGTGTATTTATACTTTATATAAATTATTATTCTATATAGATAGTATTTTTAAATTATTTAATTTTTAGATTTATTAAAGAAATCAGCACCTAGTCGAATAATTCACGTGTCATCAATATTGCACATACTTGGAAGATTGGATTTTGATAATATGAATTCTGAGAAAAGCCATAATATGACAACACTTTATTGTGACAGTAAATTGTATAATGTGTTGGGTAGTAACGAATTCGCAAAACGTTTAGAAGGCAGTGGTATGAAAAATTTATTTATAAAATACGTTATAAAAAAAAAAAAATTAATATACTATTGAAAAAAATTTGTTTTTTAATGTAGTTTTTTTATTCCCACATGATTATTTTTAAAGGTGTTACATCAAATTGTGTGTATCCTGGTGCTGTCAGAACTAATATTTTCGAACATATTTTATTACCAATCAAAATGATAATTGTTGTTTTGGGAATATTGTTCTTCAAGGTAAAAATAAAAATTATTTTTTATTTATAAAAGTAATAAAATTAATTAAATACAAAACAAAAAAATTTTTCAGACTCCAGAAGAAGGTGCTCAAACAACTATTCATTTAGCAGTTAGTGATGAAGGATCAAAAGTATCGGGAAAATATTTCGTGGACTGCAAGGTATTTTTATTATTATCTAAATTTTTATATTATATTTTCTTATTACTTTAACAGCATATGATTATTAGGTCCACAATGTTAATTTTGTTGGGAATTTTTTTTTTTTTTTAAATGAAATGGATTATTGAACTGAGATTTTGAGTACAAGTTAAAAATATAATATAAGGAATGGTTGTTGCGTGCAAAAATTGTAATATTTTATTGAATTATTAAGAGTAAAATTCTTGAAAAAATTAACATTGTGGGCTTAACAATAATATGCTGTTAAATTGAATGATTACTTGAGGCATTTCATATGAGAATACGGGGTCATGTCTCGGATTTATCTCAAAATTCGGTAAATTGTAGTGATAGTGGTGCTAAATGAGTGTACAAATTTTGAATTTGAAATTTTTATTATTTTTCGAGATATTTACAATAACAAATTTGAGCAATATTTTTTTGCTTTACTTATAACTTTTTTCCTATTAAAAATAGAGAAAAACTTTGTAAATGTTTTTAACGCAGAAGACCTTAAACTTTTAGAAAAAAATTATTTTTTAAAAAAAATATTAATTTTTAAACATTTTGGTTAAAAAATAAAATTTGTTTATAACTTTTAAACATGTTCTCCCTCATTTAGAAACGCGAAAAAAATCATGATTATTGTTTAAGTCATAATAAATCGATGGTTAAATTTTTGAGATGGCATTATTTTTTGTTTTCGAGATATTAATTAATTAACTAACAAAAGTTAATAAAAAATGAAATATTTTACGAACAAATAAAATTAGAGTAATTTTAAAAAGCCGTTTATTAAAAATAGTTCATATAGGGCTCGTTGGATGCGGATTTTGATAAGCATTCTAATGGTGTTTTTCAAATTACTCTTATTTTATTTGTTCGTAAAATATTTCATTTTTTATTAACTTTTGTTAGTTAATTAATTAATATCTCGAAAATAAAAAATAATTCCATCTCATCAATTTAACCATCGATTTATTATGACTTAAACAATATTCATGATTTTTTTCGCGATTCTAAATGAGGGAGAATATGTTTAAAAATTATAAACAAATTTTATTTTTTAACTAAAATGTTTAAAAAATAATATTTTTTTTTAAAAATATTTTTTTTTTTAAAGTTTAAGGTCTTCTGCGTAAAAAACATTTACAACATTTTTCTCTATTTTTAATAGGAAAAAAGTTATAAGTAAAGCAAAAAAATATTGCTCAAATTTGTTATTGTAAATATCTCGAAAAATATTAAAAATTTCAAATTTAAAATTTGTACACTTATTTAGCACCACTATCACTACAATTTACCGAATTTTGAGAAAAATCTGAGTCATGACCCCGTATTCTCATATGTAATGTAAGGTTCAATTATAATTAAATTAATTATAATAATAAACTTAATTATTCGATTTGAATAAGTTAATTTACAGTTCAATATTTTCAGAACATAAATTGTTTAAATCGTCCATATAGTAATGAAGATAGGCAAAAGTTTTGGGATAAATGCTGTGATCTTGTAGGACTGAAACCGGAAGAAAGATTAATTTAATAATTTTTATGAACAACTGTTTTCATTGTATAAATTTAATATCCTTAAATATGTATATATATATAATATATAAATTTTTATGGGTGTTACTAATTTCAGATAACAGTGTTAAAGAAAAGTATCTTTCTAATGTTTAAATATATTTATATAAGAAATGTCATCTTGAGATCTCTATTTTTATAAGAAAAAGAAATGCGCATGTTCATCATAAATAAATTATGAAAAATAAAATTTGATTGAATATAATTTTATTATAATTTTCTATCGTTTCTATGAATTTCATATGTAACTGTTAAATAATATTTTATATATATATACGTAATATATGACAAGTGACTTTTTGCCAATTACTCATCCTACTTTCTATTTGAAATATAATTCATTGGGAACGTATGAATATTACCCACATTAGATCTGTGTTGGAATTTTTTTTTTGCGTCAAATTAAAAAAATTATCGAATTTTTATTTAGCAGAATTTTATAAAGTGGATTTTTACACATTACATTTTACAGCTGGATCAATAATTTAGAATTGAAAAAATTTTAATAAAATATTTAACAATAATAGAGTCCGTTTTCACCGTGTGGATAAATTTAATCTTCCGAGAAGTTAAAGGGGCAGTAGATATATATTCTGCGCCTGCGCAGAAGCTGTATACAAACATTCTGCGCAAACGCAGAACTGCCTTTAACCTCTCGGAAGATTAAATTTATCTACACGGTAAAAACAACCTGATACATAATTAAATAAATTATACAGAGGTGTTAGAATACAAAATATTAAATTTTCTTAACTTCTAGATAATTAAATTCTACAAATAAAAATGATCAGTATTTATTTTCATATGCTTGCAGTTGTAAGAATCTTTATTTGTTGGTGAGCAAAGGAAAAAGACTGTCCCACAATTTCATTCTTTTAGGATATATCACACCATTTTTCATAATCATAGAGCAATTATTAATTTCTAAATAACGTTTTCTCAATGTTGTGAATTTCTTCCATTTAACATTCTCAAATAATGAATTATGATTGGGAATTGGTTTGCCAGTTTTAGCAAAATTTTCAAAAATTGCAGTCATCTTTTCTACCATTGATATTTCAGGGTCACCTTTGACAAATTTAGGAAATCTTGACATATAAAACACATACATCAATTCATCGTGATGTGAAACACCTGAAAATGAATTATTAAAATATGATAATTCGCAGTAAGTCCCGTATGTTTATAATTTTAATTATTGCTTTAAAAAAAAGTATTACCAAAGGGTTTTTTAGTATCGGTCCAAACAATGTGACTATATCTTCCTTGATAGGTGAAATGATAATAATATACCGGATATTTTGATACAGCTGATAATAAATTAATGAACCGATGCTCAGAAAATATGATAATGGCATCAGAATAAAGCTGAAATACAAATTTAATAAATTGATAATCAAAAAGCATTGTCTCAAATTAAAAAACAAAAATTTGTTTTCAAGATTTGAACCTTGTCGGTAAGCTAACGATGACTAACGAACTATGAGGCTGACTACACCGAGAGCCAATCAGGAGGGTTAAAATTAATCCTCTGGCGTACTAAACAAGTGGACTAAATTTTGCGTCTGCGCAGAATGTTTGTGTACATCTGCGACCATGGTTGCAAAAATGACAGGTTAGAAAAGTTCGCTGGCTTTGGCGACCATGTGATCGCCTTTTCTAACCTGTCGCTATCGCAACCATGGTCGCAGATGTACAAAAAACATTCTGTGCAGATGCACAATTTAGCCCACTTGTTTAGTACGCCAGAGGATTAAATTTAATCCTCCTGATTGGCTCTCGGTGTAGCCAGCCTCTATGTGTTAAAATGTATAAAATGAGAACATATTTAAGGGGGACGTGACACATTCTTATAAATCAGAATATGTGTTCTTTATTTTTAAATATTTATTTATAAAATTAGAATATTTTTAAACTGAGAATTATATAATAACTAGCAAAATTACACGCGCGCAAGCGCGCGTCCAACTTTAATTGCAATGGTTATTTTAAAATAATAATATTAATAATAATAATAATAATTCTGCATCAGTGGAGTATTAAATTAATAATAGGTATATTTCTAATTTTCACGTTATCATTTATTTATACACAGAAAAAAATGAGTTTGATGTTATATAAATAAATAAATTTAAGTAAAAATTTTAAAATATAAATATTAAAATTTTAGAAATAAATATTTTTGATAAAGTCAATGTTCGATGAATTTTTTATAATCTTTTAAATTACAAAAAATTAATTATGCTAAATATTTTTTTGTATTTTCTATAAATATTTCGTTGCAAATGAAAATTTTAAATTTATGTTTTTTTTTCAAAAAATTTAATTAACTGATAATTAATAAATATTAAAAAATTATGTAATCAAAAAGAAGTTTAAATTAACTGAAAATTATTAATTATATTTTAAAAAGTATTAAGCAATTAAAAAATATTTAAAAATTTTGAAAAAATAAAACCTAAAAAAAATTTGTAATGTTTTAAACTTTAAACTTAAATTAAAAATTAAAATCAAATAGAAAATTTTTTAAAAAAGCAAACTATTTTTATATTGTTTATAGATAAAAAAATATAACAATTTAATAATTAATAATAATAAATTTATGAATAATAATATATAATAAATAATAATGAATAATGAAAAAATAATGAAAGATAAATAATAATTATAAGTTAAAATGTTCTAATTATCTGTAATAATCATTATATTTAAAAAAATGTATATATAATATAATAATTTTATAAATAATAATAAAAATTATATTATAATTGAAACTTTTTTTTCTATAAATACCAAGTTGGAAATATACTGGTGCTGCACACAATGAACAATATTTTTTTTTACTTTAAACTGTCACTTAGTATATGACTTAATTAATGACGATGAATAAAAATATCCGTCGTGTTAACCATAAAATATTACGAAATCAAGAATTGTCAAAATTTTAGAAAAACAAAAGGAACAAAATACGACTAACTTCAAGTGTGGACAGACGGAATGAATGAATGAATACGGAAATTATTATAGTTAATAATTACAGAATATTGTTTATTCGAATTTCAAGCTTTTTCTCCAATGGTAGATATAAATTTTGAATTTAAAATAAATTTTTTTCTGTAAATTGTAAAGCTACATAAATATGAATATTCCCTTACTTGCCCTATGCCTTCAATATTTTCCAAAGTAACATGATTATTTATATAAAATTTTTTTAATTCTTTACTAATGCATTCAGTTCTTGAAGTATTCCTCTCATATTGGAAACTTATGGGTGCAATGTGATTCCAATTTGAATTCCACTGATCGAGAAAAAAGCAATTTCCTTTCCGACACAATTCTATTGGATCTAGAATGTTGTTATTGATTATAAAATGTAATAAAAACTAGTTTCATTTTCTTTTTAATAAATTAAAATTTAGTTACAGTTATAATATTATATTCTTAAAACAAAAATAAAATTCTTAAAATAAAAATATTATTTAATCTAAGAATTAGTTCTATTGAAGTTACAACGACAATATTATTGTGAATTTCAGAAATAGTCAACATCTTCAAATACAATTAGGTACAAATCAGAGTACTATTTAGGGTTTGCAGTTTATGTCTTCTTATTGTTGAATGAATAATATTCTTAATTAGGCGCTATTATATTATATTCTTAATCCCTTCGCAGTCTAGTAGAAAAATCGTTTGTGGGCTCAAAACGGTCCAAAAATGTTTCCAAAAAAATATCATATCATCGTATTGAAAGTTTTTGGGGTCGCTGAATCCAAATTTAAGGTCAGATTTAAAAAGTTCAAAATGGCGGACCCAATATCGCGACCCAATATGGTAGAATATTTTAAAATTGATTCGATTCATTCAAAATTCGGTACTTGGGGGTTTTTCGGGTACCCGAGTACCAAATTTTGAACGAATCGAATCAATTTTAAATTTTTCCGCCATTTTGAATTTTTTAAATCTCACCTCAAATTCGGATTCAGCGACCCCGAAAACCTTAGTATATCCGAATTACGTTTAGTATTTTTTTTCTAATGTAGACATATATATCCAAAATCACAAAGGTGGCACGAGTTTTTTTTGGACATACTATATGGGCCATCGACTGTCAAGGGGTTAAGTTTAGATTATCGTTTTTGCGGTGCCCTGAATTTTTTTTTTTTAATTTTCCAAAACTTACAAACAATAACAGCAGAAAATTCATCTTTATTAACACCACCAATAACAGGAACTGGTGCAACTCTTCCTTCTCTTATTGAATTTATTGGTTCCTCAATTAGAAATCTTTCAACACCATCCACTTCCGGTTCTACGATCGGGATCCATTTAACAACAGGATCATGGTACCATTCCTGAAAAAGTATAGTAAAATATTAAAACATTAATAACTAAATTATGTAAATATTAGACAATGAAGAATTAGAAAAATTAAATATTAAAATATGTAAAGATTAAAAAATTAAACTAAAAGTGAAAAAATTAAAAAATGATTTTTATTTTATAAGACGTACATAAAATATATGCATTGAATTAGCAATGTCTTGTGCTGGTATAGTTTGCAAACAATCGACAATTTCGTCAACAGAATTAGTGGAACAATTGAAATATTTAGCTTGTTTGATGGCCATATCTTTTTGATTTGTGCCCAATAATCTTTGACCAGTGACGGAACCACTCATTGCAATTGCTCTATGAAACAATCCTCTTGACATTGGCGATACTAAATGCATTGTAACGCTCCCTGATCCTGCGCTATAACCAGTAATTGTAACAGAATTTGAATCACCACCAAATACTTGAATGTTCTTTTTTACCCAACGAAGAGCTATCACTTGATCCTTAAGGCCCATATTACCTAACAGTCTCGGATGAGCAGCACTCAAAAATCCTGATTAGAATTAACAATAATCTTAATAAAATAAATAAATTAGTAACAAGAAAACTTTCCAAATACTTAAAATCAAAATGATTTACACAAAAATTAAAGCAATCTGATCCAAATATAAATAGCCCAATAAATATTTGACATTTTCCGCCTTATTCGACGCTCCGCTTTACCCCACTCTCCACTTAAATAAATTTTTTTTTAATTTATAATATTTATCTATAAACATAATGGCTTTCGATACCGTTATGTTGTGCATGCGTTTTATCAAAGTTGAAGTGTTTTTGGACAAAATTTTAGGCACTTTTGTCGTGACAACGTCTTACTCTGAGATCTGGAGAGTCAGTCAGAAAAATTGGCGTTCATATCGACAGCGATTTCTCGAAAATTATAAGTCATATTTTAAAAATTTTTTGTTATTCGGTTAATTTAGGTTTAAGGCCATGTGAGACAAAGACACTTTTTGGTAGTTCCAAGTATTCTCGGAAATGAGAAGAAATTTCGGGTTGAAATTTTGAGGAATGATAAAAAAGGGTTGAAGGAATTGGGCCGTTCTACTTATTTACTGTAATTGAATAGGAAATAATTTAAAAAAGTAATTAATAGTGGAATTAATAGGTTTTTGTTATTTCGTTGAGCGGCCACTAACTCGAATTGGCGCTAGTTCCTGGACCACTGATACATTCACGCAACGTCTGTGTGTACCCCCGCCATGTTGACTTCAACTTTCGTTCAAAAATGGGAATTTTCAAACTTTTATTTTTAATACTTAAATGCAAAATATTGCTTTAAACCGAGAACAGCGCCATTCTGAATGCTATTTTCTATCATATTTTCCAAATTTCAACCAAAAATTCTTTTCCATTTTAGAGAATACTTGAAAATACGATACCATGTTTTTTGCATGGGGGTCACGTGGGTATTTCCCACATGGCCTTAATCTCGATGCCACACATATTTTTATCAAATTTGGAAATGAAATTTTTTATAACTTTCTATATTACCGACCGGTTAAAGATTTAACTACATATTAGTGTATGCCCTGGCGGATTGCATGATGCAAATGCTTCACGAAATTAGCGGAGCATTCGTGGAACACAAGGTTAAGATTGAAATTTTGTCTCAAACATATGAAAAATGATGAAATTTTAAAGTCTTAACCCGGAAGTTGTCTACAAGAAATGTATGGCACACTTTTTGATTGGTCCGGAAGATGCTGAGCTACATTCAAATAATGTTGAGAAAAATTTTCGAAAAATTAAATTAGCGAGATAATCGTTCGGGAATACCACCAATGAAATAAGGAAAAAGTTTCGAATCTAAAATGTACAGCGCACTTTTCGATTGGTCCAGCGGATGCTGAGCTACACACAAAAATATTTTGGAAAAATTTTCAAACATTAAATTTTCCAGATAATCGTTCGGGAATACCGCCAAAGACTTTAGAAAAAAGAATCGAACAAAAAATGTATGGCGCACTTTTTGATTGGTCCAGCGGATGCTGAGCTACACTAGAAAACAAATTTGGAAAAAATTTAGAAAAATTAAATTTGCGATATAATCGTTCCGAAATACCGCCAATAAAATAAGGAAAAAGTTTCGAACGAAAAATGTATGGCGCACTGTTTGATTGGTCCAGCGGATGCTGAGCTACACTAGAAAACAAATTTGGAAAAAATTTAGAAAAATTAAATTTGCGATATAATCGTTCCGGAATACCGCCAATAAAATAGTCAAAAAGTTTCGAACAAAAAATGTATGGCGCACTTTTTGATTGGTCCAGCGGATGCTGAGCTACACTCAAACAAATTTTGGAAAAATTTCGTTCAAGATTTGTTTTAACATTTCTTGAACAGAGTACATGAATGATTGAGGTTATGTTTTGATATTATTCCTGTGCAAAATTTCAGTAATTGGCATTACTGTGTGAAGTAAACATTAAATGAAACCAAACCTTTCATCAAAGTTTGGTCACTATAAGCGGGTCGTCATTATAAACGGATTCTACTGCAATTAAAAATCAGGAAATGAAGTAGGCGCAAAAAACCTACATCTAGGGTTTCGTGGCTGTTTAAATTCAGATCAGAAGTTATTTGTATATAATAAATAATTTATAATTACACTGGAGACTCCCAAGAGCGGTCTTCCCGAGAGCGGACGAACTATCAGCGCGGGGTGGTAAAGAGGGAGGAGAGAAGAGATGGGCGGGATCAGAAACAGAAAACAGGAGCGTCTGCTTTGAGTGTACCGTTACTATGCAAGCAGTTTTATTGGCTTATTAATTACTAAATTTTAAAAATAAAATATTAATTATAAAATGAAAACTTACAATACTTTACTATAAAAACAAAATGTATTAATATTTATAATAATATGTGTCTTGACGCGGTGAAAGGGACCTTATGGACGAAGCTGAAGTACGCAACGTTTATGATAAACGATTTTTAAAAAAATAATTTTTTAAAATGAAAAATTCTATAATTTTTTGCTTAAAAAATATTTCTTGTAGTTTTCATTAATCAACAAATTATAAAGAAATATTTTTTAGGCAAAAAATTATAGAAATTTTTCATTTTAAAAAATTATTTCTTTAAAAATCGTTTATTATAAACGTTGCGTACTTCAGCTTCTTCCTAATGGTCCAATTGCAAATTGCACTTTAAATGTTCATAATAAAAAATGAATTGAACAAAATAATTTCTAATTTTTGGAAATCATATTATTTGAGTTGCTCTTTCATTTCCAAAAACTAGAAATTATTTTGTTCAATTCATTTTTTATTATGAACATTCAAAAGTACAATTTGCTATTGTACCATAAGGTCTCTTTCACCGCTTCAGGACACATATGTAGAATATATTTTGCTAAAAGCACTGGTAGTACATTGTACGGCCCTGAGTGTTTATAGTATTCCACGTCAAGGACATTTTTCCGTAGAGCGGACTAAGACTAATGCCGTACGCTCTTGGGAGTTTCCAGTGTACATTATTTGCTATGGTTGCTATGGTAATGGTTGCCATGGTAACGGTTGCTATGGTATCTGTTACCATGGCAATCATTGAGTGTACGACGGACGGACGCCAAAGCGAAACTATAAGGCTTTCGGCCCTGGGCCACGGAACCCTAAAAAATACGTTGTCACGCTCAAAATTCTTCGTCCGTGTAATAAATACAGAACCCACTTTAATTTTTTTTTAATAGCTTAAAATAGTTAATGAATAAATTATTTTTTATTAATTGAATTAAAAGAGAAATCACTTATATTTTTTAAATACCTAAAGAGCCGAGTCGATAATTAATGGTAACTAGGACAACATCTCGATCTAACAGATATTCAGGTCCAAATTGGTCACTTTGACCGGAATAGGAGTAAAATCCTCCTGGATGAATAAAAATTATAACTGGCCTATTCACTTTTTCATTTGCACTTGGTAACTGAAAATGTAGAAAATTATGAAACAAATGTTGTTTGTTATAAATAAAATTAAATGAAAAATTATTTAGTTTAATGTAAAAAAAATTTCTTTAAAATTTAGAAATAAACTTTTTTTTTAAATAAAGAAGGGTGAGTAGTGACTAATTTTTTAAAGATTTTGAAGACTAAAATTAATTTTTTCTATTACCTTAGTTGTGTAGACATTAAGTCGAAGACAATCTTCGGACATTATTGTGTAATTAAGTTGTGGACATGCAGGACCCTCTTTAGAGGCATCAAACACTTGATCCCATGGTTTCACAGGTACAGGTGGCTGTAAAAATTATCTTTTAGTAAAATTCAATTTTATTACAAAATATTTTTATATAAAAAATAAACAATAATATGTATATAATAATAAATTATTTATAATAATAATAATAAATAAATAATAACAAAAATAAAAATAAGCATTAAAAATAGTTACAATCTCTTTTTTTGACTTATTTATAAAAATCACTGAGTGACAAATAAAAATGATTTAAAATATTTGAAAAATATTCCTTCTTTAAAATGTTTCAAATTCTAAATTTTTTCAATTCTCACTTGAAAACGAAGTTTTCCAATTGGAGGCTCAGCATATCTTACACCTCGGAAAGAGTAAATTTTTTTACCCAATCGTGTTGTCATTAAAGAACCTTTTATACTACCGAGGCCATTTAAATTGACAATCAAATTTTCTTGTGCAAGTACAGTATAAAAATTCCAAAATATAACAAGATATAAAAAATTAAATAAATCTTGTCTCATTTTAATTTTCATAATTTAGAATAAATTAATTGTAAAATTTACCACTATTTTTAATTATTCACTTATATATTATTAAATAATATTTATTTATTTAAACATATAATAAATGTTAATGTAATATAATACTAATAATAAAAAAAAATATTGTAATATTTTATTATTTGAATGTTTTTAAATGCAAAAACAAAATGATCGTACAGTTTGAAACTGATGCAAATACTAAAATAATAATTCAAGTTAAGACAATTTATATACTTCTACCAACAAGGAAAAAATTGTAAAAATAATTATTTATTTATTAAACATGTAAAAGAATTTACAAAAGACAAAAAATGCCCATTTTATTCTCAAAGTAGTAAATAATAAAATATCTGCTCATTAATAATCATGTAACAGAATCTTAATAAACTTAAAATAGTTTTAAAAAAAATTATAGACAAATAACATTAGGCTTAGTTTTCCCTGCACTGTACACGGAAAACTAAGCCTAATGTTATTTTGGGTATAGGTCTCGTGCTTTTCTCGTGCGGCGTCACATATGTGTATAAATTTTTATTTGATCATTATAAAGAAGATAAATTCATATATAACATTTTCGAAAGTAAAAAATAAATGGAATGATAAAAACTTTTTGCTCTGATTTTGAAAAAAATATATATATTCTATACACACGATTTATCCTCCTTTGGCAATATTGTCTATATTAAGAACACTTTAAAGACGACGATTCATATATTATTTTTTATATGCAAAACAAGAAAATATTTATTTTAAAAATACTGACATTATTCCTGCTTGATTTGATAAAAAACTAAAATGATTATATAAAATAAAAATAGCATTTTATGCAGCTTTTATATAATATATCAAATTGAAAAAATATAGTAAATAAAAATTTTTATTCTTTGACAAAATTTTACCAAATTCAATATTTTCAGAGATATAAGACATTGAAAAAAGGTCTACTTTCATATTAAGCCAAAATTTCGAAGATTCATAACTATAAAATTTGGCCAATTATATAAAAATAAAAAAATACGTATTACATGTTTTTCAACAAAGAACAAGAAAAATATATATTTAAACGAATTTAGAGTGTCATAGGTAAATTTCACGTGGAATCGCCCTTAGTTAATATTAGAGTTGAAATTTTTTTTTCACTCCTTAAAAACAGCGTAACTTTTTAGAAAAGGCGATTATTACGTCAACAAAGGGGAAAAATTTTAATGTATTAACCTAGAAACATATTCTGATAGTTAATAAATTTTTTAAAAACTGATCATAATTTTTATAAAAAATTTAATGAATTAATTTGCAAATAGCTGTGCCATTCCAGGAGTTTTTTTTCACTTTTTGGAGTAACCTTTCCAAATTAAGTAAAAAAAATTTTTTTATAATATTTATTAATATAAAGGTCCAAAATAATCACTTTTTACGTAAAAAACAATTGTTTATTTAAAAAATACAACAATAAATAATAAAAAAAATTCACTTTTTTTCAGCACCACCAAATAAATTGGTTTAAAGATAAAAATTTTCCTTATTTTTCAAGCTTTAATACTGCACAAGAAAAATGACGTGATTCGAAATAGTTAACTCACAATTTATTAAACAATGTTTGTTTTCTTTTTTGTATTTTATTTATTCTAAAACGTCTGCTATTGCTGCGCGCGACGTTCGGAAGTTGTCGCTCTCGTTATTGAGCAGAAGCTTATTACACTAGCGTAGTAGAAAACATGTGTAAAAAGTGAGGTTAAGTTATCATTGAACGAAACGTAAACATTTCTGGTTATCACATTGAATGGTTTTTAATTACCTACTTTGCAGTAAAAAATCATAAAAAACATTTTCGAAGGATGAAAAATCTCACTTTTCACACAACATGTTTTTTTATTACGCCAGTGTAATGAACTTCTGCACAATAACGAGAGCGACAACTTCCGAACGTCGCGCGCAGCAATAGCAGACGTTTCACAATAAATAAAATACAAAAAAGAAAACAAACATTGTTTAATAAATTGTGAGTTACCTATTTCGAATCACGTCATTTTTCTTGTGCAGTATTAAAGCTTGAAAAATAAGGAAAATTTTGATCTTTAAACCAATTTATTTGCTGGTGCAAAAAAAAGTGATTTTTTCCATTATTTATTGTTGCATTTTTTAAATAAACAATTATTTTTACGTAAAAAAGTAAATAAGAATCACCAAATTTTTACTTCCTCATGGAGGAAGTATTTGTATTTGAGATCAAAAAGCAATTACCAGTTCAGTAGTTACTATAAAATAATTATTTTTAATTATTTTTTTTATATAGGGTTAACGAGAACCCACCTAGGGTGAGTTAAATGTTTTCTTCTTTGTATATTGCAATAAAAACTTAGAATCATTCAGTTTGTTTCTGAAATTGTTATATGTTACCAAATAATATATTTTATTATATTTTGTTGATTTTGCTTCCTCGTGGAGGAAGCTTTGTCGTCCTTTCGTTTATAAAACTTTTCAAAGTGGCGGAAACAAATTTTTTCTTTATAGAAACATGTTATATGAGATCCTGATCAACTGGGTCTTCCTCTACTCGGATCTGGGTGTCAATTTTTTTCTACACTTTTAAGTGTATTTTGTGCAAGAATATGCAATAAAATCGTCTGCCTAAGAAAAATTAAATTTTTTTGGTAAGTTTTTTATCCTTTCGGATGCGTTTTTGGTCATAAAAAGGGTCTTCCTCTACTCGGATCTGGGTGTCAAATTTTTCTACACTTTTCGGTGTATTTTGTGCAAGAATATGCAATAAAATCGTCTGCCTAAGGAAAATTGAATTTTTTTG